AGGCCACAGAACAAGTCTTAACAATTTAAGATTGAAATCATATCAGGCATCTTTTCTGACCACATGGAATGCAACTAGAAATCAGTAATGGGACGAATTTCAGAAAACTCACAAATATGAGGAAATTAAACAACATGTTCCTAAACAACCAAGGGGTCAAAGAAGAAATTTTTAAAAAGACAGTAAAATGGAAATTTAAAATATCTTGACAAATGGAAACAAACAAAGAAAAAAATACCAAAACCTATGGGATGCAGCAAAAGCAGTACTAAGTTTGGGGATTATAAGAATAAACACCTATATCAAAAAAGAAGAAAGTTTCCAAATACACAACCTAATGTTATGCCTGATGGAACAAGAGAAAGATGAGCAGACTAAGCCCAAATTTAGTAAAAGAAGGAAAACAACAAAGTGCAGAAATAAATGTAATAGAGATTAGGAAGACGATAGAAAAGACAAAGCAAACCAAAAGTTGGGTTTTTAAAAGGACAGGCAAATTTGACAAACCTTTAGCTAGACTAAGAAAAAGAAGAGTAAACAAACAAACAAACAAACAAACAAAAAAGCAGGACCCGAAGTGAAAGAGGAGACATCATTGACATCACAGAAATAGAGTAAGAGACTACTATGAACAATTACATGCCAACAAATTGGACAACCTAGAAGACGTGAATAAACTCCAGAAACATACAACCTGGCAAAACAGAATCATGAAGAAATTGAAAATCTGAACAGAGTAAAATGAGTAAGGGCATTGGATCAAGAATAAAAATCTTTCATCAAAGAAAACCCCAGGACCTGGTGGCGTCACTGCTGAATTTACTTAAAGAATGAACACCAATCCCTTTCGAACTCTTCCAAAAATTTAAAGAGGAAGAAACACTTCCAAACTCATTTTAGGAGACCAAATTGCATTTTTTTAGAAAGTAAGGCAAAGCTAAAATGAAAATTCCATAACATGGCTATTACAATAATGGCTAAAAATCTGCTTGGACTCCAGATAGTGGTAGCTACTCTTAGAAGTTGATTTTTAAATGTAGTAGTGGGTTCTTTGAACAGAACTGAATTTCCCAGTAAGTAAGTTATATTTTGAATATTAAAACCGCCAAGTCCACTTTTCTTTTTGGACAAATCTCTCTAAATGTTCTGCTTTTTGAACAGTAATCATGTGAAAGGGAAGGGAAGCAAAAGCAATGACACTGTTTTAGAAGGTGAGATTTAGGGAGAATAAATGATAATACAGAGAGAATTTCATAACTTAAAAGATATTTTTAAATGTTGAGCTTTGTAGAAAATAAATATTCAGTTCAGTGAAACATGGTTATCTAATATTAATACCATGTTCTATGGTTTGAGTAAATTTAAATTTTTATTTTATCATGACCCTGATACCTTGTGTCATCATGTACAAACTCTACATCTCTTGAGTGTGCCACAGCATAAGTGATATTTGTGGCTTCAAATGTTAGTGTTGCACACAAGTTGCAACAAGTCAAAGTGGCCCCACTTTCTCCTGTTTCCTGGATATTCCTTAATGTAAGAATTTCTCATTTAAAGGAGAATATTAGCCCTTTTTGTCTGGAAACCATCAGAACCTAAAAGATACTAAAAAGGCATTAGCACATACACACTACAACATAGATGAACCTTGAGGGCGTTATGCTGAGCAAAATAAGTCAGTCACAAAAAAAGACAAATACCGTATGAATTCACTTATATTAGGAACTTAATCAAATTCATAGACGCACAAAGTAGAATGGTGGTTCTAGGGAGTGCTGGAGTGGGAAACGGAGAGTTGTTGTTTGATGAGTGCTGTATTAGCTGGTTTTCACACTGCTATAAAGATTCTACCTGAGACTGGGTAATTTCTAAACAAAAGAGGTTTAATTGACTCACAGTTCCACATGGTTGGGGAAGCCTCAGGAAGCTTACAACCATGGCAGAAGATGAAGGGGAAGCAAGGAACATTTCACACGGTGGTGGGAGAGGGAGCATGGGGGAAACTACCACTTTAAAAACCATCAGATCTCATGAGAAGTCCCTCACTATCATGAGAACAGCATAGGGGAAACCACCCCCATTATCCAATCACCCCCTACCTGGTCCCTCCCTCGACACCTGGGGATTACAATTCGACATGAGATTTGGGTGGGGACACAGAGCCAAACCATATAATTCTGCCCCTGGCCCCTCCCAAATCTCATGTCCTTTTCACATTTCAAAACCAGTCATGCCTTCCCAACAGTTCCCCAAAGTATTAACTCATTCCAGTATTAACTCAAAAGTCCATTGTCCCAAGTCTCATCTGAGACAAGTGTCTTCCTCTTATGAGCCCATAAAATCAAAAACAAGTTAGTTATTTTCAAGATACAATGGGGTTATAGGCATTGGGTAAATATTCCCATTCCAAATGGGAAAAGTTGGGCAAAACAAAGGGGCCACAGGCCCCATGCAAATCTGAAACCCAGAGGGGCAGTCATTAAATTTTTTTTTTTTCCTTTTCTTTTGAGATGGAGTCTCGCTCTGTCACCCAGGCTGGAGTGCAATGGTGCAATCTTGGCTTGCTGGGTTTAAGCAATTATCCTGCCTCAGCCTCCCGAGAAGCTGGGACTACAGGTGCATGCCACCATGCCTGGCTAATTTTGCATTTTTACTAGAGATGGGGTTTCACCATGCTGGCCAGGCAGTCTCGAACTCCTGATCTCATGATCTGCCAGCCAAGGCCTCCCAAAGGGCTGGGATTACAGGCGTGACCCATGGTGCCTGGCCCCTAAATCTTAAAGCTCTGAAATGATCTTCTCTGACTCCATGTCTCACATCCAGGGCACACTGATGCAAGGGTAGGCTCCCGAGACCTTGGGCAGTTCTGCCTCTGTGGCTCTGCAGGGTACATCTTCTGCAGCTGTTTTCATGGGCTGGTGTTGATTGCCTGTGGCTTTTCCAAGTGCATGGTGCAAGCTGTTGGTCGATTACCGTTCTGGGGTCAGGAGAATGGTGGTCCTCTTCCAACAGCTCCACTAGGCAGTGCCTCGGTGGGGACTATGTGGGACTATGTGGGGTCTCCATCCCCACATTTCCCTTCCCCACATTACTCTAGTAGAGCTTCTCCATGAGGACTCTGCCCCTGCAGCAGGCTTCTGCCTAGACACCCAGGTATTTCCATATATCCTCTGAATTCTAGGTGGAGGCTCCCAAAGCTCAGCTCTTGTCTTCTGTGCACACAGGCCCAATACCACATGGAAGCCACCAAGGCTTGGGGCTTGCACCCTCTGACACCACAGCCTGAGTTGTACTTTGGCCCCTTTTAGCCATGGCTGGAGCAGCTGGGACAGAGGGCACCTTGTCCCAACGCTGCACAGAGCAGTGGGGCCCTAGGCCTCGCCCACAAAATCATTTTTCCTTCTAGGTCTCCGGGCCTGTGATGGGAGAAATTGCTATGAAGATCTCTGAAACGCCCTTGAGACATTTTCCTCATTGTCTCAGCTATTAACATTCAGCTCCTCATTACTTGTGTAAATTTCTTTTTCTTTCTTTCTTTTTTTTTTTTTTTTAAGATGGGGTTTCACCATGTTGGCCAGGCTGGTCTCAAATTCCTGACCTCAGGTGATCCGCCCACCTTGGTCTCCCAAAGTGCTGGGATTACAGGCTTGAGTCACCATGCCCAGCCACTTGTGTCAATTTCTGCAGCTGGATTGGGCTTAAATTTCTCCACAGAAAATGGGTTTTTCTATTCTACACAGGATCCCCTGCAAATTTTCCAAACCTCAAATTCAAAGTTCCATAGATCTCCAGGGTAGGGGCAAAATGCCACCAGTCTCTTTGCTAAAGCATAATGAGAGTCACCTTTACTCCAGTTCTCAACAAGGTCCTCATGTCCATCTGAGACCACCTCAGCCTGGACTTCACTGTCCACATCACTATCAGCATTTTGACCAAAGCCATTCAACGAGTCTCTAGGAAATTCCAAACTTTCCCACATCTTCCTATCTTCCTCTGAGCCCTCCAAACTGTTTCAGTCTCTGCCCGTTACCCAGTTCCAAAGTTGCTTCCACATTTTTAGGTATCTTTATAGCAGTGCCCTACTCCCAGTACCAATTTTCTGTATTCGTCTATTTTTACACTGCTATAAAGATTCTACCTGAGACTGGGTAATTTCTAAACAAAAGAGGTTTCGTTGGCTCATAGTTCCACATGGCTGGGAGGCACAGGAAACTTACAATCATGGTGGAAGGTGAAGGGAAAGCAAGGCACGTGGTGGCAGGAGAGAGAGAGTGCAGAGGAAACTGCTGCTTTAAAAACCATCAGCTTTCATGAGAACTCTCTAACTATCATGAGAATAGCATGAGGGAAACCACTCCCATGATTCAATCACCTCCCACTTGGTCCCTCCCTTGACACCTGGGAATTACAACTCGAGATAAGATTTGGGTGGGGACACAGAGCCAAATCATATCAGGTACAGAACTTCAGTTTGGAATGGTGAGAGGGTTCTGGAGATGGATGGTATCGATGGCTGCACAATGGGACTGTCCATATTGTACATTTAAAAAGGATTAAAATGGTAAATTTTATGTAATGCTTATTTTATCACATAACATAATCATTATGATTATTAATACAATGATTGAAGGAACTTTTTTTTTTTGGAAGAAAAAAAAAAAGCAGATTTGGGGGGAAAAAAGGCAGCTTTCCAGAGCATTTTGTATCAGGAATGAATGCCCCTTTGGCCAGAAGCCCTTATTGGTGATTTAATAAAAGATCTGTGTCACTCAATTCTTGGAAACTTCTAGAACATATTTTGTGCCCATGAAAAAGATAGTCTCTACACTATAAGCATTAGAATCTTGAAATAGAATCTTGACATTATCTGAATGCAAGTCCTAAAAACAGGAATCTATATTATAACATTTCTATCTAGTATGTTAAAATTAAAATCTGGTTAGTAATTGTTTCCTTTCTATTTATCTAGAGAATGAGAGAGAGAGAAAGAGAGAACATACATTTTACTCCTGGTATCTGGCACTTCTCTCTCGATGCCCAAGCTTCTACTGATAAATATATTAAATCCATATTTTGAAAAACCTTCACGAAGTTCTCTGTTTGTATAGTTAAAATCCTCACCTGCAAGAAAATGTAATTAGAGTCATATAAGTAAAGGGTTACTAGCAGTGATGCAGGAAAGGAAAGATCTAGAATAACCAAAATAATTTTTTAAAAGAACCAGAATAGAATTCAGAAATCAATCTGTGCAAAAATGGTGAAATAATTCTTGACAAAGATGGGTGTTACAGTGCGTTTTGCATTGCTATCCTGAGGCTGGGTAATTTATAAGAAAAAGAGATTTATTTGGCTCACAGTTCTGCAAGCTGTGCCAGAAGCACGCAGCCGGCATCTGCTTCTAGTGGGAGCCTCAGGCAGCTTCCAGTCTTGGCAGGAGGTAAAGGGAAAACAGTCAAGTCACATGGTGAGAGAGGGAGCAAGGGGTGGGGAGATGCCAGGCTCTTAAACAACCAGCTTTCCCATGAGCTAACAGAAGCAGGGCTCATTCCTGTAGGCAGCCACCAAGCCGTTCATGAGGGATCTGCCCACATAACCCGGACACATCCTGCCAGCCTCCACATTCAAGACTGTGGGACAAATTTCAACAGGAGACATGGAGGGGGGTAAGTATTCTGATTATATCAGTGGGGAAAGGGGAGTTTATCAGCAAGGGGTGTTGATCAACTGGATATCTGCAGAAAATAACCCACATGTGATGATCCATTTTCAATTCTAAGTGCCTCAGTATAGGTTTAAGCAGGCTTCTTTCTCTATTTCTCTATGGAAATAGACAGATAAAGAAGCAGGATGTACTGAGCCACACCCCCACCCCGCCCCTTCCTGCTTTCCCTTTCAGCCAGCGGCCAGGCGTCTATCCGTCAGGGCCCCCTCAACTACTCCCTCTCCACCCACCAAAGAATTTAGTTTAGGCTAGCTTGCAACATAAATAATAGTACCCTTTCTTATCAGCTAAGTGCAGCCACTAGGGCCATAAATCAAATGTTTAAAGAATCCTGAGACAGTCGCAATGCATGGTGGGCTGCAATAAAATGCAGCAGAAAGACCCTGAAGAACATACTTGAAGTCACTGCCTAACAATCAACAGGTGATGTCCGGGAAGACTGTGACCCGTAGTACTCAGTCTGTGAGGAACCGGGAGTTGTCTGCGCCCTAGGGGATAAATTGCTTGTTGAAACTGCGCTGCGTGAGCCTGTAGGCCAAGCACCCGATCTTGCATCACTGTCATTAAAAGTCTCACTTTCACTCTTCACTGGGTCTCTGAGTCCATTTTTTGGGTTTGGATGGATGAGTTTGTTTCTCATAATATCCATACGGAAAAAATAAGCATTGATTTTTACCTCACATCATCACAACAATTAACTCGAAATAGATCATGGCCCTAATGTGAAATCTAAAACTTTAAATTCATTTCCAAAAGAAAACATAGAATGAAATCTTTGGGAACTTGAGGTAAGCAAAGGTTTCTAGAGGAAACATAAAGATCATGAATCATACAGGAAACTGTGAATTGAACAGCATCAAAATGAACATTGTGAGGCATATTAGGGACTTATGAAATAAAAAAACCAAAATTTTAAAATGTAAAATTGTGCTTTTTGAATAACACCATTAAAGAGAATAAAAAGACAAGCCACAGATTTATACAACATATTTGCAACACACATATTAAGAGGCTTGAATTCAGAATATTTAACTCTTAAAAATCAAGCAGAAAAACACCCCATTTAGAAACAGACAGAAGACTCTAAAAAACACTTTATAAAAGAAGATATATCAGTGGTTATTAAACACACAAAAAGGTTCTCAAAATCATTAGTCATCAGGGAAATACAAATTAACACAAAAACGATGACCTTACTTACCCATTAGAATGACTAAAATGAAAAAATTGGACCATGTCAAGTGTTGGCAAAGATCCACAGGAAATGGGGTTCTCATACGCTCATAGGAAGTGGCCCAGCTATATTGGGGAACAGTTCGGCCACCCCAATACTTGTTTCACTTGTCATATAATCAGGCTCTACTCACTTCCCAGAAAGCAACAGTCCCCCTGGCACTCATCCTTGGTTTGCTGTTTCTCTGCTTTCTGTCACCATCCGAGCAGTAAGACAGAGAGCCAGAATTAGGGTGTGACCTCGGGGAAATGAGCAGGAGATCTGTAAAGGGGCTGTTATGTGTCACACGCTAGAGTAGTGCTTAGGTAGAGTTTCAGGCCAACACCTACCTGGTCATCTAATGGGAGGGCCGTTCAGAGCAGGGGTCCACAGAAATGTAGGCCTATATGTTAAGGCTTTAATTTCTACTCTTATTTTCTTCATCTTTCTTAGGGTTTATTTTGTTAAACTGGGTCTTTATATTTGTGTTTTATTTATTTATTTATTTATTTATTTTGAGATGGAGTCTCACACTGTCGCCCAGGCTGGAGTGCAGTGGTGCGATCTCGGCTCACTGAAATCTCCACCTCCTGGGTTCAAGCAATTCTCCTGCCTCAGCCTCCTGAGTAGCTGGGACTGACTGTAGGTGCACACCACCAGGCCCAGCTCATTTTTGTATTTTTAGTACAGACGGGGTTTCACCATGTTGGCAAGGCTGGTCCTGAACTCGTGACGTCATGATCTGCCCGCTTGGCCTCCCAAAGTGCTGGGATTACAGGCGTGAGCCACTGCTCCCAGCTGTTTTTATTTTTTCGATACAGCATCTCTCCCTGTTGCCCAGGCTGGAGTGCAGTGGCCCAATGACAGCTCACTGTAACCTTGAATTCCTGGGCTCAAGCGATCCTTCCACCTCAGCTCTACAAGTAGTTGGGACCACAGACCTGTACCGCCACACCTCGCAAGTTTTTATTATTATTTTTGTTGAGTTGGGGTCTTGCTATGTTCCCCAGGCAGGTCTTGAACTCCTGGCCGCAAGTGACCCTCCTGCCTCGGCCTCCCAAGGTGTTGATATTACACGTGTGAGCCACCATGCCTGGCAAAACTAGGTGTTCATGTGTGGGAACATGGGAAAATAATCTTATGAACATAGTGATGAGGGAAAAAAGCAAGTTCCAAAAGGATATGTATATCAGAATGTCTAAACGTATATCAAAAATACAGAACACTATATTTTTCTTAGGGATAATATACAAAGGAAGTAGAAAAGATATGCATGAGAAAGATATCCATCACTTCAGATCAGAAAGCCTCTGAGGGTGGGGTGCGGATGGGAGGGAGGTAGAGTTTTTATTTATTTATTTATTTTTTTTGAGGTGGAGTCTCACCGTGTCGCCAGGCTGGAGTGCAATGGCACGACGTCAGTTCACTGCAATCTCCGCCTCCTGAGTTCAAGCGATTCTCATGCCTTAGCCTCCTGAGTAGCTGGGATTACAGGCATGCGCCACCACACCTAGCTAATTTTTGTATTTTTAGTAAAGACGGGGTTTCACCATGTTAGTCAGGGTGGTCTTGATCTCCTGACCTCGTGATCTGCCCATCTCAGCCTCCCAAAGTGTTGGAATTATAGGTGTGAACCACCATGCCCGGCCAGAGGGAGAGTTTCTACTGTACTATTACAACTTATTTCTTGGAAAAACAGAAAGCTCTCTGAAGCAAACATAGCAAACTATATTTAAAATGATAAATTTAAGTGGTAAATACATGCATACTTCTTTTATTATTTTCTATATATCAATATATACATATATAAAATAATTTATTACTTAAAAAGTAAATTGCTTTAAAAAGGATATTCTCACACTCTTCCAAATATTAAATATTGTGGTATATTTTTCCCTTAAAATGGCTAACAGAAAAAAAATCAAAATACTTACCCAACACAGAATTTGCTTTATCTTTATCAGTGATTTCGACTATTACATGTGGTATTGGTATTTGCTCTGAGTCATAGATAATTTGCTGATGTACTTTTTTTCCAGGGGACCAAGCTGACAGAGGCTCATGGCTTTCCTTCTGCTTGGTGCTCACATGATTATGGTGCAAATATATGAATAATAGAGCTGTCCAGATCCCAAATGTCAAGGACCCATAGAATAAACATCGACTCACGGCGTTTCTCATCGTAAACGTAGCGTTTGCAAAGGTCCGTTTTTCCATTTCCTAAATCAGAATGATTTAAGATAAGCAGTATTAGACATTCCAGTGGTTGGCAGATCATCTACTTGGCTTAAATTCCATATTTAGTGTTTTAAAAACAATCATTTTCATTGTCCTTATCATATAAAGTGTGTCCTTATTTCTATTAACACAAACTCCTAAAACTGATATTCCTAAGATTACTTAACATCAAAATGTATAACATGCTTATAAAACATACAGTGTCATTTCAAGTCATTGGCCCATACTCCTGTACATATAGAAAATAACGTCAAAGATGGCTTACTCATCCCTTACCCATGTCCAATCCATCTTGGAGTGACAGTATGGGTCTCTAAAAAATCTGATTTGACATCAAGCAGCTTGTTAAAAATGTAAAAACACACAATATTACACACTGGAAAGAAGGGCAAGGAGTACTGTGGCCTAACACTGATGAAAGGCACAATGGTACAATCATTTCGGCAATATCTAGTCATGTTGAAAATACGCAGTTCCATCCTTAGGAATATATCCTAAAGAAAATGTCCACATGAGAAGCAAAGAAAGATATAAAATCGACACCCTATCATCAAAATGGAAAGAGCTAGAGCAGCAAGATCAAAAAAACTCAAAAGCCAGCAGAGGACAAGAAATAACTAAGATCAGAGCAGAACTGAAGGAGATGGAGACCCAAAAAACCCTTCAACAAATCAAAAATCCAGGATCTGGTTTTTTGAAAAAAATCAACAAAATAGACCACTAGCCAGATTAATAAAAATGAAAAGAGAGAAGAATCAAATAGATACAATAAAAAATGATAAAGGGGTTATCACCACAGATTCCACAGAAATACAAACTACCATCAGAGATTACTACAAACAACTCTATGCACATAAACCAGTAAACCTGGAAGAAATGGACAAATTCCTGGACACTTGTACCCTCCCAAGCCTAAACCAGGAAGAAGTCAAAAACCTGAATAGACCAAAAACAAGGGCTGAAGTTGAGGCAGCAATTAATAGCTTACCAACCAAAAAAAGCCCAGGTCCAGACGGGTTCACAGCTGAATTCTACCAGACATACAAACAGGAGCTAGTACCACTCTTTCTGAAACGATTCCGCACAATCCAAAAAGAGGGAATCCTTACCAAATCATTTTATGAGACCAACATCATCCTGATAACAAAACCCGGCAGAGACTCAACAAAAAAAGAAACCTTCAGGCCAATATCCATGATGAATATAGATGCATAAATCTTCAATAAAATACTGGCAAACCGATTGCAACAGCACATCAAAAAGCTTATCCATCACAATCAAGTAGGCTTCCTCCTGGGGATGCAAGGCTGGTTCAACATACCCAAGTCTATAAATGTAATTCACCACATAAACAGAACCAAAGACAAAAACCACATGATTATCTCAACAGAGGCAGAGAAGGCCTTCGACAAAATTCAACAGCCCTTTATGCTAAAAACTCTCAATAAACTAGGTATCGATGGAACATATCTCAAAATAATAAAAGCTATTTATGACAAACCCACAGCAATATCATATTGAATGGGCAGAAACAGGAAAAGGAAGCATTCCCTTTGAAATCTGGCACTAGACAAGGATGCCCTCTCTCACCACTCCTACCGAATATACTATTGGAAGTTCTAGCCAGAGCAATCAGGCAAGGAAAATAAATAAAGGGTATTCAATTAGGAAAGGAGGAAGTCAAATTGTCTCTATTTGCAGATGACATGATTGTATATTTAGAAGACCCTATTGTCTCAGCCCAAAATCTCCTTAAACTGATAAGCAACTTCAGAAATGTCTCAGGATACAAAATCAATGTGCAAAAATCACAAGCATTCCTATACACCAATGACAGACTAAAAGAGAGTCAAATCAAGAGTGAACTCCCATTCACAACTGCTACAAATAGAATAAAATACCTATGAATACAACTAACAAAGGATGTAAAGGACCTCTTCAAGAAGAACTACAACCACTGCTCGAGGAAATAAGAGAGGACACAAACAGATGGAGAAACATTCCATGCTCATGGTTAGGAAGAATCAATATCGTGAAAATGGCCATACTGCCTAAAGTAATTTATAGATTCAATGCTATCCCCATCAAGCTACCTGTGACCCTCTTCACAGAAGTGGAAAAAACCACCTTAAACTTCATATGGAACCAAAAGAGAGCCCACATAGCCACGACAATCCTAAGCAAAAAGAACAAAGCTGGAGGCATCACACTACCTTACTTCAAACTGTACTACAAAACAGCATGGTACTGGTACCAAAACAGACATATAGATCAATGAAACAGAACAGAGGCCTCGGAGGCAATGCCACACATCTACAACCATCTGATCTTTGACAAACCTGACAAAAGCAAGCAATGGGGAAGGGAGTCCCTGTTTAATAAATGGTGTTGGGAATACTGGTTAGCCATGTGCAGAAAGCAGAAACTGGACCCCTTCCTGATAACTTACACTAAAATTAACTCCAGATGGATTAAAGACTTAAACATAAGACCTAACACCATGAAAACCCTAGAAGAAAACCTAGGCAAAACCATTCAGGGCATAGGCATAGCCAAGGACGTCATGACTAAAACTCCAAAAGCATTGGCAAAAAAAAGCCAAAATAGACAAATGGGATCTAATTAAACTCCAGAGCTTCTGTACAGCAAAAGAAACAATCATTAGAGTGAACCGGCAACCAACAGAATGGGAAAAAATTTTTGCAATCTGCCCATCTGACAAAGGGCTAATATCCAGAATCTGCAAAGAACTAAAACAGATTTACAAGAAAAAAAAACAAACCCATTCAAAAGTGGGCAAAGGACATGAACAGACACTTTTCAGAAGAAGACATATATGAGGCCAACAAACATGAAAAATGCTCATCATCACTGGTCATTAGAGAAATGCAAATCAAAACTACATTGAGATACCATCTCATGCCAGTTAGAATGGCAATCATTAAAAAATCTGGAGACAACAGATGCTGGAGAGGATGTGGAGAAATAGGAACACTTTTACACTGTTGGTGGGAGTGTAAATTAGTTCAACCATCATGGAAGACAGTGTGGTGATTCCTCAAGGACCTAGAAATAGAAATTCCATTTGACCCAGCAATCCCATCACTGGGTATATATTCAGAGGATTATAAATCGTTCTATTGTAAAGTCACATGCACACATATGTTCACTGTGGCACTGTTTACAATAGCAAAGACATGGAACCAACCCAAATGTCCATCAATGATAGACTGGACAAGGAAAATGTGGCACATATACACCATGGAATACTATGCATCCATAAAAAATGAAGAGTTCATGTCATTTGTAGGGACATGGATGAATCTG